CCCCTGAAGACAAGGTAGATTTTACTATACGCATCCCGATGACGTAGAAGGAAATCAAAGACTCGGGTCAAGATAGTAAGAGAACTGGAGCAAAGTGTCATTTGAACTAGGCTTAGATGTCTGTTGATGCTACAGGTGCGCTTGAAATATATTAACTGGCATAACCAGCCCACAATTGAATCCTTGGATCATGTTACATTCTTTTTCTTCCTTGTTTATTTCACAATATCACAACCTGTCCTTCTTTAAGTAAGCCTTGGAGACCTGGCACTTCCACAGGTCCTGAGATGAAGAGACTTTGAGGGCGGTGTTATTAAATTAATTAGTTCATGCAGATCGTATTGTTAGGGTGTTTTTTTTAATGGTTGTTTTTATTGTAAGCCATCCAGAGTTGGGAGATTTGAGCAGCTCTATCAATTTAAATTAAACAAATCAATAAGTAATTTGTCCCGAATAATAAGCTCCCAACCCAAATCATCATCATCATCTTCTTCTTCTTCTTCTTCTTCTTCTTCTTCTTCTTCTTCTTCTTCTCTCCTCCTTCTCTTCCTCTCCCTCTCCTTCCTTTTCCCTCCCTCTTCCTTTCCCTAAGCCATGTATATATTTGTTCATTTTATTACAGGACTATTCAAGCCGAATAGCTTGGTTATGAGCTAGGTCAGAAATGCTCCAATTTAATCTCTAGTCTTTTCCAAGGAGAACTGAGAAAAGCATCTAGGGAGTTATGTTTCCAAATCAGTATTACCAGTACTAATAATGGGTTCAAATAATCTTCCCGAGTTTCCAAGCCAGTGGTGGTGGTGGGGGGTTGGATTAGATTACCTATAAGGTCTCTTTCAACTCTGTTAATCTGAATAAGGGTCTATTGCATCTTGGATGAACAGCTTCACAATAAGGCAGGCAGGTAGAAAAACAACATGGCGAGAACCCCAGGGTAGAAAGTACAAATTTTGGCCAACTGATTTCAAGCAGCAAGCCAAGGACATAAATAATATTGTGGGGAAAAATGGCCTTTGTTCTCCTTCACCATCTCACTTGAAAATCCTGTCTCTTATCAATCCACAAAGTTAAGAAAACCCCCTTGTAGGTGGAATTACAAACCCTAGCCTTTATTTTATTTTATTTTCCAGAGGAAAGCACAATAGGCAGCTGTGTCCTTCTCCAACCAGAACATCTAAGATGAAAAAAATTAATCATATGTGATCCTTCCCTCCCCCTGCAAGTTTCCCGTAGAACAAGTAGAAAAGTCCTTTACTTTCCAAGTTATAGGTCTTTATCAGATTTACCCAAAGCACGCCAAGAATTCAAGCAGTGGGGGTGTCTAATTACGTTCGAATAGGCAAGTTTTTTAGAAGCAAACTTCCCCGACAAAGTGAATGTCACCAAGGCACAGCAAACAATCAACAATTTTGACCTGAAGTTAAAATCAAAATGTGACTAAATAGTGATTGCCAAATACCAATGGCTCCAACTATCTTTCAGCAGCATTTCACACCTGCCCTATTTCAAATCCGCAAGTTTGGATGTAAATATTTGGAGAAACTTCCAGCATATCTGAGTCACTCACTAGGCCTTCCCCTCCTGCGCTACATTTCCCTGGGTATAAACGCATGGAACCTAGTCCTCATTTCAGTCCAGAGGTGGGATTCAGCTGGTTCTGACTGGTTCTGCAGAATCGGTAGCGGACATTTTGAGTAGTTTGGAGACCTGGCCAATCCCATCTCTGACTGGTCCCACCAACCCCCTCTATTCTCTGCCTCCCATTGAGTCCCAGCTAATCGGCTGGGTCTTCTTTGGTTGCCCTGCACAGGAGAACGGAGCTGGAAAGCAGGCTAGTGGGGTGGGGAGGGAGTGGGGATTTTGCAGTATCCTTCCCCTGCCACACCAAGCCACACCCACCAAGCCACACCACGTCCACCAAGCCATGCCCACAGAACTTTTTTGAATCCCATCACTGTTTCAAGCCCCCTGAAAAATGAGTGGCATGGGACTTAAAAAATGAATAATTTTAGAGCTGCCAAAGGACCCCTTAATGGGGAAGCTTGAATGAATGTGGCCGCCTCTTAAAATGGGTGCCTTGAAATGCAATTTTGTCCCATCATGAAATGAACATGTGATAACATACGGAGTGGGATGGATGAGTAAGGGAGGAGGACAGGAGATTGGAAGGCTTTTGTTGCTTACATTGTATTTTACTTTTCCCAAGATCATCAAAGGCCTGGAGACTAAATGGCTGCAGGTTTTGGGTTTGGTTAGTCTAAAGAAAAAAAAAGAATTAGGGGTGACACGATAGCATTCTTCCAATATTTTGAGGGGCTGCCACAAAGAAGAGGGAGTCAAGCTATTCTCCAAAGCACCAGAAGGCAGGACAAGAAGCAATGGATGGAAACTGATCAAGGAGAAAAACAACTGAGAATTAAGGGGAATTTCCTAACAGTGAGGACAATTAATCAGTGGAATAGCTTTCCTTCATAAATCATGGGTACTCCATCACTGGATGTTTTTAAGAAGCGTCTAGAACAATCACTTATCTGAAATGGTGTAGGGTCTCCTGCTTGAGCAGGGGGTTGGACTAGAAGACCTTCAAGGTCCCTTCCAGTTCCATTCTATTCTATCTATTTATGTTTCAGCATGCTCCATAATCCTCATTTCTTAGAGGAGAACTACAGGTGTTTTTTTTTTTTAAAAAAAATTCTCCTTGATTCAAAAGTTCAACATCGTTGAATAGGACACTACCAGATAATCCTATGGATGTTAATTGCAGGAATTGGGTATGTCTAATCTAGTGAAAAGAAGGACCAGGGGTGACATGATAGAGTCTTCCGATATCTCAGGGGTTGCCACAAAGAAGAGGGAGTCAAATTATTCTCCAAAGCACCAGAAGGCAGGACAAGAAGCAATGGCTAGAAACTTATCAAGGAGAGAAGCAACTTAGAACTAAGGAGGAATTTCCTGACCATGAGAGCAATTAACCAGTGGAACAATTTGCCACCAGAAGTTGTGGGTGCTCCAGCACTGAAGGTTTTTAAGAACAGACTGGACAGCCACTTGTCTGAAATAGTATAGGTTCTCCTTCTTGAGCAGTGGGTTGCACTAGAAGACCTCAAAGGTCCCTTCCAAATCTGTTACAGGTAGTCCTTCAACATACTTCACTTAGGGACCATTCAAAGTTACAATGGCACTGAAAAAGAAGATCAGCTTTTGCGACCTTTTTAAAATATTTTTATTGGTTTTCTCTTTCCGTACAATAAGTGTTTAATGAACAGCATACTGTCTGAGGCCATTTGTGTGCATAGCAATACTTCTTAAGTTCCTAATTTCTACCCCTGTTGTCGTCCAACCATTTATAAAAACCATTCTTGCTGCTGTTAAAACATGGAATATCAAATACGCCAACCCTCCTTTGTCATATTTGTTATGCCTCACCAAAAAATTAGTTCTGGCTTAAAATCTGTAGGAAAATCAGCTTGGCCCCAGCTTTTCCAACCTCCAGGCAAGCCAAATCATTGGGGAAGCCATATTCTCTTAGCAACTACATAGTTTCAATGATTCCTTTAGCAACAGTGCCCCCCCTCAAAAAAAGAAGTCACAAAATGGGGTGAAATTCACTTCACCAATGTTCCGCTTAGCAACACCTACATGTTGGGCTCATGTAAGTCGAGGAGTAGCTGTATTTTCTGTCATTGTAACTTCCAGCCAACTGGGTCCTCTTTTTTTTTTTAATCCCCTTGCCATCCTGTCCTGGTCTTTCTGAGCTAGCAAAAAGTCAAGGGAAGACACAATGAGCAAGAGTGACCCGTGTCTTTCTAAAAAGAAGAGGTTGAGAAGGGCCCTTTTTAAAAAAAATAAAAACGAATTCCAAGGCTGGCACAAAAGACAGATGCGGTCAGCCAGCCCTCCTTTTGAATCCGACATGCCTCTGGCTCAGCCAACAGAGGGTTGAGGCAGCTGCTGACGTCAGAGCCAGTCTGGAAATGGGATGCTTGCAAGCTTTGTTATTTCAGATCTGAGCTGGCGGGAAGAGTTGCTGGACGGAGGGAGCTGCTCTCTCTCTCTCTCTCATTCCCTCTCCTCTTAGACTGAAACTACAATGCTGTAGGCTAACAGGGGGTTATACCGGGCAGAAAACCTATGTACATACTCCAGAAAACCATGAGGGTAAGAAAGATTTTGTTGTTGTTTTTCCTCCTTCCTCTTGCTTTTTCCTTCCTTCCTTCCTTCTTTTTTGCACCCTTTCCAAGGGTGAGCCGGTAAATATTTGAAACTCAAAGAAAAGTTGAATGGAAGAACAAAAGAAAGCAAAACTTGATGGATCTGCCATCTATACTCTAGGCAAGCTGTTGAAAGTCAGGTGTAGGGATATTCTTAGCTGTCCCGGCTCCCATGGGAAAATGTAGTAACTTAAATGTTAAAGAGAGGTTGAAGGTTTTTTTTTTCCCTTTCTTTTGTTGTCCAGCGTGGCTGATTCGTTCCTGCTTCAAACTGCCCTTTCTGGTTTGGCTTCGGCAGTTTGGCTGCCGTTGGGTAAATAAACGTAATAACAGGAGCCTTTGGAGGCAGCGTTAGAGGAAGAAAAAAAAAAAAAACCCCACACGCCTTTGAACGGTTTTATTTAGAAATAGGAGGGCTGCAGCAGCTGCATTCTTGGGTCTCTCTTGACAGCAAAGATAGACATAACAAGTGCAGGGGACTTGCAAGAGCCTCCCTACGGGAAGGTGTGCAATTTGTTTTGTTATTGACTCAAAGGATTCTTAGCGTGCCAGAGGCTCTTTCATGCAAACGCTCACCAACTTCTAACTGGAGGCTGTGTTTGTGTATGTTTTGCTCCGCTTCCTGAAAAAAAATAGCTGGCCTACCACTGCAGACGGATGTTGTTCATTTGGGCACTTTTCCAACATTCGCTGCTTCGTTTGGGGAGGCATTACAAGGCGATATTTGCCACCCTTCCCTGTAGTAGAATCGGCCAATGGAAAGGAAGCCAGCCAGTCCACTCTTCTCAACTTTTCGGTCTAAGGTTTCCTCTCCCAAATGTGAAGGATTGATTGCGAGATCCTCGGGACAACCAAAGAGGTCTTGGTTCATTAACCCGGACATCGAAAAATGAAAAGTGCAGCTCAATTTTTCTGGGAACGTTTGAAGCCGCCAACTTCCTGCCCATGGCTCAAAAGGAACTCAGGAGCTTCCCAGTGAATTGAGAATGAACATTTCAAAACAATTGCCATATTCAAATAAACAGAAGAACAGAGCAGGAAGGGACCTTGGAGGTCTTCTAGTCCAACCCTCTGCTCAGGAGGAAACCCTACATCACTCTGAACCAATGGCTGTCCAGTCTCTTCTTGAAAACCTCCAGTGATGGAGCACCCTACAACTTTCTGGTGGCTAGCTGTTCCACTGATCAATTGTGCCCACTGTTTCTCTTTAGTTCTCGGTTGCTTCTCTCCTTTATTAGTTTCCATCCATTGCTTCTTCATGTTCTGCCTTCAGGGGCTAAGGAAAACAGGTTGACCCCATCCTCTCTGTGCTACCACTAGTTGATTGTTCTCACTGTGAGAAAGTTTCTCCTTAGTTCCAGGTTGCTTCTCTCCTTGCTTAGTTTCCCTCCATTTCTTCTTCTCCTGACTTCTGGTGTTTCAGAGAATAGGTTGGTCCCCCTCTTCTTTGGGGCAGCCTCTTAGCGGTTGGAAGCCTGCGTTGCCAGACCCATCTAATCAGAAATTGTCCCTGTGGTTTGCCTTACACTGAAAATGGAGAGGGTTGCTAATCAACTAGATTCCTGCCTGGGAGAGCATGCTCAGAACAAACCACAGGTGGCCGTTTCCTAGTCACAAGGACCCAAGTTGGCACATTGGATGGTAAACGACACTGAGCAACCTGTGCCCGTTTCATCCCAGGGGACGTTGTCAAAGAAAACCTTGGACGCTTCCCAAAGATTAAACAATGGATGGCACAAGTTCTTTCTTTTCTTTTGAGATCCTCTGTGCAAGGGAGACAACAGAAGTGGAACCTGTGTAGGAAGCGAATTAATCTTTGCTCATTCAAAGTGGCTGAGCGGAATCCTTCATTTATTAACATGTTTATGTCCCTCATCTCACCAATAACAGCAGCTCTGTGCGGCTTACAAAAAGATGATACAAAGCGATTAAAATTCAAAGGGTTAAATCAAAAGGATAAGCATCACAAGGATAGGTCCTTTCTCCTTCACACAAAATAGGGAGAGCATTAAGAATGATCCTGGGATATTGGCAAGATATTTTGTAGAGTGTAGTTTCATTATTTATTTGGGTTTCTGTTACATTCTGCCAACTGTAAGGAATTCGATCCTGACCGGCTCAAGGTTGACTCAGGTTTCCATCCTTTTAAGGTTGGTAAAATGAGGACCCAGATTATTGGGGGCAAGAGGCTGACTATGTAAACCACTTTGAAAAGCATTGCAAAGTGGTATATAAATCTAAATGCTATTGCTATCTATTATCTATCTAAGATAGCTAGATAATATCTATCTATCATCTATCTATGTATCTGTATCTATGTGTCTGTCTGTCTGTCTGTCTATTATCTGTTATTTAGAGCTGTAGTGGCTAATTCTGCTGACTGTCACCAGTTTGATCCTTACCAACTCAAGGTTGACTCATCCTTCCATCCTTCTGAGGTGGGTAAAATGAGGACCCAGATTGCTGGGGGCAAGAGGCTGACTCTGTAAACTACTTAGAGAGGGCTGTAAAGCACTGGGAAGTAGTATACAAGTCTAAGTGCTAAGTCTAAGTGCTTATTGCCATTGCTATCTTGATAAGTACCTGTTGGAGCAGAACCAAGATCCATTTTGCCTTCTGTTTTCAAACATAGCCAGCCAGGTAATTGCATGTCTGGGATTTTTTCCTGTGTGGTCTGTCTGACATCAGCCTCTTCTATAGGAGAGCTGTTGCCCTGAGCTATCAGAGCTTAGAACCTCTTAAAGGCTCATCTTTGTCAGAGGCCGATGTGACTCCGCAGGTAGCTAAAACCTTGCAGCTGTCAAACCTGGTTTGACAAGAACAGGAAAACATCAACAAAGCTCAAAGCAAAATGATGATTTGTAGGAGAGTCAATATATTGTTGATGGGAGGGATCAACATTCTCCGCCCGGTTAAAAACAGTCCATTCCAAGGCCCAGGAAGTCAAGAATCAATAGGGATGTGGAATGGAGAAATGCATACAAGAGGCAGAACGTAGAATGATAGGGCTGAAAGGGTCCTCGGAGATCTTCTAGTCTAGCCCAACCCTCCCTGCTCAAGAATTGAGCTCTGGACATGGATATTGTAAACATGTGTATTACCCTGACACTTATACTGTAATTCTATCTGAGAAATAATTACGATTGAGAGCAGGAAGTGCTATTCTCAACATGGACATACACAGAGTTCACGATCAAACAGGTCACCCAATAAGGGTTGTACCCTTTAGACACTTTTTTCAGCTACTTGGTTTGATCCTTATTTCAAATGTTGAACTTGACTTCCTTTTTCACTGGCATCATTCGGTGAATTACCTACGGTATTCTGCTTTGAATGATATTCAGGGGTTGCTACATTTGTCGAGTTCCATATAGCATGTTTTTGTTGCTTTGGGTGAATTAGAATGGTTTTACAAAGCCGTATTTTCAGAATCAGCATAGAGCTGGAAGGGACCTTGGAGGTCTTCTAGTCCAGCCCCCTGCTCAATCAGGAGGCCCTGTACCATCCCAGTCAAATTGGCTGGCCAATCTCTTCTTGAAAATATCCCATGATGGGGCATCCACAACTCCAGGAAGGAAGCTATTCCATTGATTGATTATTGGTTCTCACTGTCAGAAAATTTCTCCTGAGTTCTAGCTTGAATTTCTCTTTAATGATCTTTCCACCTGTTACTTCTGGTCCTGCCCTTAGGCCCTTTGGAGAAGAAGTCAGTCACTTCTTCTCTGTGACAGCCTTGTACTGAGTGACTGCTACCATATTGTGTGAAACTGCGTGGCAAGATCAGGATTGATAAAAGGGCTCCTTTGTAGAAGTATGTGAAGGTGGACAATGTAGAAAGTAACATTCTAGGCTGGACACTTTCTGCATTGTCCATCTTCACATGCTCCTATGAAGAAAGGTCCTTGGTGCTCTCTGAGCTTGGTGGTTTTCTTGAAGATGTTTCTTTACCAAACTAGGTAATATCATCAGGTCCTTGGTGTTCTCTGAGCTTGATTGTTTCCTTGAAGACATTTCATGTCTTAAACTAGGTACCATCATCAATGCTAAGACTGATGAGGTTACCTAGTTGGGTCATGAAATGTCTGCAAGAAAACAAGCAAGCTCAGAGAGCACTGAAGACCTCACAGTTGTTGTTGTTGTTGTTGTTGTTGTTGT